ATAATGGTTTTCTTAAATCAAAATAATAGATATAAAAGAGTATATGACTAGAATGTATAGTTTTTGAAATACATTCATCGCCACGAAAAATGGACGCCTTAAAACTTTGATCTACTTTAAAGGTTAATATATGTTGTTTTAATGGGCCGATTTTGATGATTTTTTAAGCAGTGTGTAGCCAAATTATTTGACTTTTTAGTATCTTTTTCTAAATTAAAAATAAAACTCCTCATCTGTTAATTATACGAGAGAAAACAAAATGTTGATATTTTGGTGAAAGTTTGAAACACCCTGTGGAATATGGTAAAACTGCAAGAAATTTAAAAATAATTTTATCAGCTAGATACATCCTTTCTCGATGGTTTGTTTTTTGGTTCATCTCATTAGCTTTATTTTTGTTGGAAATATTCGTTTTTGAAGAAGACACTAAAACATTTTTTCGTAATTTTTACATTAAGACCATGCTTTTGGTTTTGGGGCTAGTCAACACATCTAATAAGTTCTGGTCCCGAAGCATAATATTTGCTTCATTTAATCTTCTTATAGTCCGTTAGTTAATATGTACGTTTCTTAAGTGCAATTCATTATCAATTTGAAAAGCTGGCAAACGGCGCGGCGCGGCGGTTTCTTAGCAATAAACGATCGTAACCTTAGCAATAAGTCGATCGTCTCGATTATAAGTTCTCATACGAAGGTTCCTGGACGTCTAGATTGATGTCCTCACGGTTGTGGTGATAATTCAAAAATCACTTAGTATACTCTATGGTATTAAGGCATTTTTGGAACCGAAATTTTATAGCAAATTCACTGAACTAAACTAATATAGATATATATTTGACTCACCCTGTATATCTATAAAAATATTTTTGAAATGTGAACTACCATTAAATACATACTTTGTAAAAGGTTAGACCTTTTGTAAAAGGTACAGAGCTTTTGCGGGATACGGAGCCATCTTGTATGTATGCATTTGTATATGTGTGTTTATTTATTTAAATACTAAGGGAAAAGCAACGAATTTAAATGGATAAACTTTGTAATATATCTTATTAACAATACAATGCAAATTTTTTTATACAAATTCGTTCACAGTAAATGAATTCCCAAGTTTGTATCCCATAAGGGTTTAAAGCACTCCACTAATTCCAATTCGTTGAAGTTCGGTTAATATGAAATCAAACCTGAAATTAACAACTACTATCTGATAACAATTACTAATAAAGTATTATCAAAAAGCTTTTGTATACGTTTTCTTGTGTTTGATTTTAATTTTTACTTCTATTACAAAATTCTTTTTCATTTTTTTAGGTCATAATTAACTTAAATGAGCTCAGTACAATTAGTATGCAGAAGAACTACATGTTTAATTGACATCATTCTTGAATAATTAGGCTTTAAGTAGGTATAGCAACGAAAAAAATACGAGTCAATGCAATTCATTTTATATCTAGGAAGTGCTTGTTAGAGCATGTCCAATAAATTCTCATATAATACAGCAGAATCTGGCTTGTTATGGGCTAATTTACAACTTGAGCAGCCGCAGGATAATTTCAGAATTATTTTTATTTACGGAAAAATCTCAATTATCGAAATCGCCACTGACAAGGTCGTAAAATTGGTAGTATGAATAATTTCTAGATAAAAAGTTTACAAGATTTACACAGCTTTTTGTAGTAGAAGGAAATATATTCGTAAAGGTTGTTATGCGCCATTATGTATCAAGAAAAAATCGCTATATATTTATACGTCATGAGAAATATCAGTTATCTAATTCAATCATAAATTTCTAAAAGATTTATTTGAATAAATAATTATTAAAATTAATTTTTCTAAACATTAGCAAAAAGCTATATATAAGAATCGCTTTTAAAACGTCCTTCGACGTTGTGTGATGCCTAGTCGCCATTGATTCCGTTCATTCCAGTCTCCGTCACGCAGATCCCTTGAGCTCATCGCCTTCTTGACATCCTCCATCTAGTTTGTCCCTGGTCATCTTTTTGTGGAAGCCAGTTTAGTACCTTCTGAAGTAGTCGCGTGTTGTCCATCTTTTTCACATGTCCATACCACTTCAGTTGGGCACTCTCTATCTATTTCCTCTACTATAGTTTTTGTTTACCCATTTTGTCCCTGATTGTTTCATTTCGTACTCTATCCAGCCTTGATGTTCGTGCTGATCTCCTTATCGCGTCCATTTCTACCGCCAGTAATTTTCTTTTGTTATTCTCTGTCAACCTCCATGTTTCCGCCCCAAATAACAGATTGCTCTTGATTATCGCATCATAAATCTTTAGTTTTCTGTCTTTACCTATTTCGTTACTCTAGAGTAAATTATTCCGCTATTTTTTCACTGATAAGAAAAAAAAATGTTTGTTTAGATAATTTTCGAGATATTTTTTCTTTAAAATGACATTTTATTGCATTTCTGGCCTTGACTATTCTCGAGCTTATTTCATTGTCGTCTTTCCCGGATTTATCTAAATTAACGCCAAGGTATTTGTATTCGTTACATGTTTGCATGTATTCATTATCTAGTTTTATTGCTGTTTGATCCGATCCAATGCAGAGATATTTAGTTTTTGCGATATTCATCTCCAGTCCCCAAACTTGGTATTCCTCTTTAAGTTTTCGTGTCATATATTCCAAGTCATCTTTGTCTCCTGCACAAATAACTTGGTCGTCGGCGAATTGCAAAGTGTATAAGCAAGATTCTTCACTTATTGGTATGCCCATGCCTCTACACTTGCTTTTCCAATGCTTTAAAACTTGGTTGACGTATATTTTAAATAAAGATGTTGACAGGCAACACCCTTGTCTTAATCCTAACAACAAGCTAATGGATATAAAAGACATTCTAATAAGTAAAACAGCATTGGAAATAGTAGAATACATATATTTAGGACAACTATTACACAGCTCGGGATCTCTACTACCAGAAATCAACATAGGGAGTATTTATGGAAGTACTTATGGAAGAAACTCAATCATATTCAAATCTAGTGTCCTATCAGTGATGACCTGTGCATGCGAAACCAACTGAACATTAAGAATTATGAGACCTAGAGGAAGATCAAACTTTAGACGCGACCATGATATTAGTAAATTAGGAGGGATAACTTGGGCCCACATGCCAACAATAAGCAACAATAAAACTACAGAGTATCTAAATATGTGAGGGAGGCACATAATTCACCATAATTGCAAATGGTTGAAAAAGCAGAGAATGATGATCATAATAAACCAGAGTTTCTATAGAACTGTAATTTACTAGACCTCACTTTCATAATCTGTAAATGTAACTGACGATCTCATTTTCCTTACAGAACAACGTTGGTTAAGGATGGACACATAAATAGTTCAAAAAAACAAAACAAAATAAAAGCAACAGGCATTAGGCAAATTTAAATAGACATCTGGTTTATACAGGTCTTTAGAGTATCTTCAAAGAAACCTTGAAACTTATACCAATTATATGTTAACCAAATAATTTTCTTATATAGACATAATATCTAAACTGAAAAATGATAATACTATTAAATGTGACAGCACACATTAAAATATCATTAATTGAAATATAAGGAATATTAAAAAATTAAATAGCACAAATTAAAATTGGCTTTAAATTATATAAAATACTAAATAAAATTGTCAAGTGGGTCCCATTCTATGGCGGTATGAAACCAGTTTAAAACAAATAAAAATATATAATTAATATGTTTTGTGTTGAGTCCTAATGACGATTAATTAGTTGTATGCAAATTGGGAAATATCCACTTTCGGTTGCGTATTCTAGGCTCACATTTTATTAATTACAACAGGCGGAGACACTTTTAATTTTCATTTTGGTATTTTAAGGCGGGTACACACCAAAGAAACATTGGCAAGCAAGATTTAAAACGTTTTCATGCTTGTGTAAATGTTGCACAGGATTTGCTATTTTGTACGTCGTTTTAGTTTTGTGTACCCAGCAACTGCTCCATAAGTAATATGGTTCTTTCTATCATGGTATACATCCAGCGCAAAATGTTAGAGGCGCAGCTCCATATCTATTTTACGCCAGTCTTCTGAGTATATCTTTCCCATCTAGTTGGACTCTTTTCAAGGTTTTCAGACTTCGCTTTCTGGTGAGGTAGTCACCAGGTTGACTGTCTCACAAGGCTCTACAGCAAAGAGGAAGATGTAATCGAGCAGGATACAGCAAAGATGACCACTAACGAAAACATGCAAATAGAAAGTAAAGACATAGATATGGCGCTCCGACAATTAAAAAACAGAAAAACTCCTGGACAAGACAACATCCCGAATGAACTACTTAAGAATGGAGGACAATATCTAATCCAGCAACTAACTAAAATAATTAAACATATCTTTCTCTACCAAAGAATACCCGACGAATGGCGAACAAGTACCACTATCCTTATGTTTAAGAAGGGGGATAAAGAAAGGCAAGAAAACATTAAAACTAACAACAGAAATAATAACAAACAAATTAAGCAGCATTATATCTCTACCAGATGAGCGACAAGGATTTAGAAAGAGTAGATCATGCACTTGTGGTTTTTGTTATAAAACAGATTACAGAGAAATCGATTAGGAGTACAGCAGACCAGTTTACATGTGTTTCATAGACCTGCAGAAAGCATTTGATCGGGTTCAATTAGAGGATGTTGTACATTTACTTTATGACAGACAAATACCCCATAACTTAATTAAATTCATAGAAAATATATACATTGCTAACAAAATCCAGGCTAATAACCACGGGGATCTTACTGAACCAATACTTGTAGAGAAAGGCATACGACAAAAGGTGATTCATTAAGCCCACTTCTTTTTAATATAATCATGGACGAAATAATCAAACAAGTGCGCCATTTAAATGGATACAAAATGGGAGACCGCAATATGACAATTCTATGTTATGCCGACGACGATTCGCAGAAAATGAAGACGACCTCCAAAGACTAGTATATCGCTTCAATCTAATAGCAAAATCTTATAACATGATAATCTCTGCATCCAAAACAAAGAGCCTGACAATATCAAAAATACCTATCAGATGCAAGATTGTCGTGTATAATACAATAATACAGCAAGAAATGAAATTTAAATATCTCGGTATAGAGTTATCCGATTATGGCGATATCGAAACAGAGGTAAGACAACAAATAACAAAAGCAATGAGAGTGGCTGGATGTCTAAATGACACCATATGGAAAAACAAATACATAGGTGTCGAGGTCAAGTCAAGAATATACAAGGCTGTCGTCAGATCCATAATGACCTACACAGCAGAAACCAGACCGGATACAGCAAAAACAAAAAGATTCTTGGAAACAGGCGAGATGAAAATCCTCCGCAAAATCACAGGTAAAACGCTGCTAGATAGAGAACGAAGCGACAACATAAGGCAAACATACAAGGTGAATAGCATTAATGAGTAATGAATGGGAATTGAGCAGGAGACGCGAATGAAATGAACATATTAGCCGAATGGACGAGGGAAGAATAGTAAGGTCAGCTCGAGACAAATCACCACTGGGAAGAAGAAGTACGGAAAACGAAGAGAAAGATGGTGTGATAACCTTACCATCGATTGCAACTGTAGGCATGATGTGAAGAGGAATGTACAGACAATCTTCCTAATATAGAGTAGGAAGAAGAAGAAGAAGCTTTCTGGTGAATGACACTACCGTGGTTTTGTCTGAATTGATGCTCAGTCCCGACAGTTCTCTCAATGATACGGAGCTCTCTTTGATTTTTACTCAGCTGTTGTATCGATATGATCTGATATTATTTTCCAGACAAAGATACTGGCAATCGCTAGAATCTAGAATCTAGATAAACAGAAACGCTGGTAAGCTCTAGTAAATACCGACTCTACTACAAGTTTAATAATAGTTCCAGTCTTTACTTTTATTTAAACAAATAATAGATACCTTTGTGAAGAAAATCACAGGGGGAGAATATTTTATATAAAAATAAAATCATATTTATATTATTGATATGTATTTATTCACTTGCAATTATTTTAATAGCATATCTCTTTTTGGAAGTGCATAATAATGCAATCGCTACCTATGAATTACGGTTGTACCATTTTTACTGCTTTAATTATAACGTGTGTGCAGAAACAAGTAATTGCTATTGGTATTATATTATCGATTATTACATTGAAACATATAAATAAATGCCATAACTTATTATTAATACGAATCACTTTAGGTTCGTGTTGTGTATTGATATTTATAGAATTACAGACGTTTGGAAAATGTATATTATTGGATAGCTTAAAATGGAAATATGCCATGGCGGTCATACATCAAAAGGAAATACCATAAATAACTAACGGCCAATAAATTTCATAATAATATATTTACTATTCCGATTTAACTTCTTTCTGTTTTTATCAGTTTCATTTAAATTTTATTTAAACCGATATGAGTTTTTTTTAAGTTTGTTACTCCCTTCTATGTCTATTTTATATTACTCATTTTGACAACTAACTAGCTGACCCGCTAATTTCGTATCGCTTAACATACGTAACTATTACTACTTGTTAAAAATAATTAGAATTCCTACTAATTATTAACACTTACTGGAATTCCCATATTCACTAGGGTGTTTCAAAATAAAAAAAAAAATTCTCTTATGGTATTGAAAAGTTGAAAGTACATTTGAAAACAAAAATTTTGGCGCCTTATTTTGTAGATTAGAAATCTACAAAATAAAATAGTTATGCACTGCAAGAATGCCTGAATGCAGTGCAGTGGCGAAATACCCATAAAGGATTTTTTTGGAGAGCTGGTGTCTTCATGCGATTTTCTATCTTTCCAACAACGATGCACCGATGGTAGAGGGTGTCGTTTAAGAGAAAAAAAATATTTTATCTAGCTCATATAAATGTAAGAGAACCATGACTTGAGAAAACTAAAGCTACCGTCATCCTGTATATGTTATGTCCTGTATAGTTAGTACTCATTCCGTATGTGTAAATTATTTTTTAATTACTCTTAAGCCCTATATACATTGTCATATATCATTTTGAAGACTCCAATGTAATTAAATTCATTCTGGTGGCCATATAATGAATGGAATTATTAAACTCTCTTTTTACTTAACAATTTCTTAAACGCTTTTTTCATCTCGAAGCACCTTATCGGGTGTTCGGATCGAAATGTTTTGACATTTTAAATTATGAAAGTTAAGTGAAAAGGTTTTTTTCGGATAATATTAAGGTACCCGGAGGAGAGTTATTAACTTTTAATACCAAGAGAAACAGTTGAAATTTGTATTTAAAAAATGTCGTTAAGACCGAAGAGGAGAGCGTTGTTCGAAATGTCAGTAGAACGTGTATGCATAAAATTGATGAACTTAAAGTAAATTATTTTTAAGTGTTTTTTAAAATGCATACAGAATTCTATGAAATAAGTGTCTACACTCATTGAATACCAGTACAAATAGTACCAAATTATTGCCTAATAAAATTTAGCAATATTCTTTAATAATATTTCCCTCTAGGCCGACATGTCCCGGTATCTATGTCGATGGATGCATAGATCTTTGTTACTTTTTCACTTATTTATTTATTTAATTAATTAACGTATGGCATATTAAGACACGAAGTACGTATATGACAAAAAGAAAGAAAAAAAATTACAAACGAACCTTTAACAAATTTATATTATAATCTATTGCTTCTGGATTTGCCAATAGGAAATCTTCTGGTCTACCTTTATAAGCCGTTTCAGGGCATTCCTCCACGATATGTTTGACGGTTTGATTTTTGCCGCACTCACAGGGGGGGGCTTGGACTTTTTGTCCCGTTTGTGTAAAGTATAGGCGTATCTGCCATGCTGCGTTCTAATTCTGTTTAGCGTGCACCAGGTTTTCCTTGGTAAGTCAAAACCTGGTGGTGAGTTGGTGATGCATGACATGCCACGGTTTTGTTTCGATGTCCATTCCTGATACCAAGCGTCGGTGATGCTCCATTTGTCTTCAATTATATTTAGTGCGGTCTTGGTGGGTGGTTTTCTGGATCGGAGGCGATTGTGGTTAGCATCCTCGATGTCTGTATGGATCGGTAGTTCTCTGTTGTCCAGTATCTTGTTAAACTCTCTGTACAGAGCGTTTATGCGGCGCAGACTTGGGGGTGGGATGTGACTCAGTACTGGAAGCCATTCTGTGGGTGTGGATTTGATAAAACCAGCAATCATTCTCATTGTATTATTGAGCTATGCGTCTATTTTGTGGACATGTGGGCTATTACATATAAGAAAGTGTTCGTAAAAACTACTGAATCGATTTTAATGAAACTTTACAATAATGTAACTTATACATCAGAATAACGCATAGGCTCTCAATTACGTGTAATTCGTAGTTCAGTTCTTCGGTAGCTCGGTAGTTCGTAGTTTGGTAGTTAAAATAACTCGGTTTAAATATTTCAAAACATAAAAATGAAGGAAACCTGATAAAAAAGAAAATCGGACGATGTCAGTGAAAGCGTACCTGAAAAAAAAATCACCAATTCTAACGATATAAATCAAAAGGAGGAAGAGGTTCCGCTGATAAATAATAACAGTTTGACAAAAAAGAGAAAAGGAAAGTTAAAGAATTCTTGTATAACAAACGTAGAAAAATATCTTAATTATAGGCATCGTAAACTACAGGCAAATAGTCTACCAACAACTAAATATTCGTTAGCGTCACAAAAGGAATCAGAAAGATCAAGAAAATAAACAAAGGTTTATTTTAGTTAGCTATATATCGAATGCAGAAAAATGTCGCAGTTCCATACAATGCAAAATCAAATTAAATTATTAGCAACTATTAGTAATACTACTGAAGATACTACAATACAATTATTACTGATACAATTACCTGAATAGAATTAATGCAATTTCTATACAAGGTTATCAGAACTGTATTCCGGAAACTTTGGCAGCATAAGTTGCAGGCAAGAATAATTAAAAAAGTTCGTATAAATGTATGTCCTAAAATGCATAGTTTTCGAGATACAGGGTGTAGAGTTTCATTTTTATTTCGATTTTTTCTGAATAATTTCTGAAGTAACGTCAATATTTGGATGAAAATTTGTACCTGGGCGTTTTTGGCATGAGAAATTTGATTTTTATATCAATATGACTCCTACGTTTAGAAATTATTTGGAAAAAATCGAAATAAAAATGAAACTTCTACACCCTGTATCTCCGAAACTAAGCATTTTAGAACATACATTTATATGAACTTCTATACTTATTCAATTAAATAATATAATAATAAATTAAAGGATAGGAAAATAATATAACATACGAACATCTTTCAAAACACAAAATACACTTAGATCCCATTTTATCACATACTAAACCCCAATGAATACAGAACAACAAACAAAAAAGGTAATATACCAAATACCATGCGAATGCGATAAATTTTAATTGGTGAAACATCTAGACCCTTAAATGTTCGAATTAAAGAACATAAAGATTATTTAAGAAAGGGAGATTTTCACAAATCTAAGATTTGTCAGCATTTATGGGACACAGGGCACAGAATAAATTTTAATAACGCCAAAGAATACTAGAATAGATAGACCCTAAAAGAAAAATAAAAGAGGCTTTTTAGTACAATCTAATAAAAATAAATGTATTGCTCATGCATCTGTAGATGTTGTAATATGGCAATCGCTTCTTTGATTTTAAAGAACATAACATAAATAAACATCATAACATACCTCCCTAAAATTAAAAATAATCATTCAGAAGTGTTTACAAAAAATAACTATTTTATTTTGTAGATTTTCTTGCAGTGCTGTGGCGAAATACCCATAAAGGATTTTTTTGGAGAGAAAGTTTGGGGCTTTTTGGTTTTACCTTTATTAAGTAATTGTTATCAAATTTAAAGAAGGCGTCCATTCTTTTCAAAGAGACCTGGTTTAAATGAAAAAGTAGAAAAACAGAGACCAAGACTGAGTCTTTTTTCTACTTTCTTTAATTGTTATCAGGTAGTAACTGTTAATTTGGAGTTTAACTTGATATAATGTCATTTTAACAGCACGTCGACGGTTTTTGTAGATGTATCTGTTTTAAAAAACTAAAGTGTTCTCGAATAGTTTAATTTAAATATATTATTTTTTTTTATTTTTTGTATTTTTTGCTTCCGACGACGGAAAGAGATAAACTTTCCGAAACGTTAAGCATTTTTTTTGTTTGTTAGTCAACTTTATATATCTGTAAACTTAATTTCTGACAAGTAGTTTCCGTTTGGGATTAACGCCAGAAGAGTTTACAAAAAATAACTATTTTATTTTGTAGATTTTATTGCAGTGGCGAAATACCCATATAAGATTTTTTGGAGAGATGAATCCGCCACATAGGTATAGATATTTTTTATTATTCTTTTATTTATATTTTGGTGAATTATATCAAAGATTTCTCCAATTATT